TATTTGCAGTACATTTGAATAATTAAAGACAGGCTAGAAAGCAAAGTCAGAGCTAACCGTCGGTGAAATAGCGTGTGTTTTCTTTGTTACGACATTGGTCGGATAAATAGCGTTTTGTTAAACGGATACGACACGATGTCGGAAGAATAACTCTTCGATCAACGCTTACGACAAAAAACATCACGAAATATAACACTGTGCGTTGAAAATTTTTCGAAGTTGATATATTTCTGTTTGAGCATGCGCGTGGCGAATGTCGGATGAATAGCCATCAGACATTGAGTTCTGGTGTCGGACGAATATCCATGGCGTTCAAAATAACATATTCGATGTCTTGTCATATTGCCTATCTTTATCGTTTTATTAAATATCCATTTGCCATATCAAGTAAACTTAACTAGCTTTCGCTTACGAAGTTATAAACTGATTTCACAAAGTCAGGTCTTACGCTACTAATAAAACCAGGCCCATATATTTTTGGCCGCTACAGTTTATTATGCAGTGGTTTATTATTCATATTAATCTTTTTCTATAGCGAACATGTTCACCCCAAACAAACCAAACGGCGTTGCTACTGGACTGTTTGTTGCAACATTTTTGAACTGGCTTAAATTAAGCTTTGAAGAAACGATGGGCATGAAGTAGAATCTAATTAATATTTTGTTGACATTGTAAATACAACTACGCAAGCAACACTGGCGTTTGACTATATTGTTTAATTTTATATAGACAGTGCAGTTCTCTGTGATATACTTACTATATGTACTGTATTTAGGATCTACACTTTTGCAACCCCAATATTTATTTAAAACCAGAACGGTATTTAACTTTTTTGTGCAGAGCTTGGTTTGATTATAATATTTAGCTAATATTTGAATAAGTCTGAATTATTTCATGCCAACATATTGGCGTGAAAATCTATTACGTTGTTACACATGTTTGGCAAAATTTGCGCATGTTTAAAATATCTCGCTAAACCGTAAAATTACGGGACATGCTACTCTTGGCAAAAACGCCTAGGCGATTCTGGAATTTGGAAAAAATTATGGATTTTTTAAAGTATTATAAAAAAAAACCTTCAATCGAATATCCCTGTATATAATATTTCGTGTTATTTAAAAGTGTCAGAATTTCTGATACTTCGGAGTTTGGACGTCTGCATGGTCTCTGCAGTTTTCAGTGTATTTGTGATTTAGCCGTATTTGAAGGTATCAGAATTTCTGATACTTTCGGTCATAGTCTGCGGTCTCTGCAGTTTTCAGTGTATTTGTGATTTAGCCACATTTGAAGGTATCAGAATTTTTGATACTTTCGGTAGTCTGCGGTCTCTGCAGTTTTCAGTGTATTTGTGATTTAGCCGCATTTGAAGGTATCAGAATTTCTGATACTTCGGTAGTCTGCGGACTCTGCAGTTTTCAGTGTATTTGTGATTTAGCCGCATTTGAAAGTGTCAGAATTTCTGATACTTTCGGTAGTCTGCGGTCTCTGCAGTTTTCAGTGTATTTGTGATTTAGCCGCATTTGAAAGTGTCAGAATTTCTGATACTTTCGGTAGTCTGCGGTCTCTGCAGTTTTCAGTGTATTTGTGATTTAGCCGCATTTGAAGGTATCAGAATTTCTGATACTTTCGGTAGTCTGCGGTCTCTGCAGTTTTCAGTGTATTTGTGATTTAGAAGCATTTGAAAGTGTCAGAATTTCTGATACTTTCGGTAGTCTGCGGTCTCTGCAGTTTTCAGTGTATTTGGACGTCTAGTTTCTCCAGTGTCTTGTCTCGCCTGCTTTAATAAGAGTACCTAAACTATATAGAAATCATTGTATGATACTTTCATATATTTCCTACCCAATGGAATGTTGCAAATTTCGTTATTTATCCAAGGTGGTTTTGAAATCGTAAGATACTGTCGCATGTATTGCAGATATTATAATTTTTTACGGAGGCGCTATTTTTATCTGCAAAATTGGGCTGTTTTGAAGGAAAAGTTTTTGGAGTCAGCAAAATGTTGTAAATAAGGCTGTTTTTGTCGAAAAAATATTATTTTGGAAAATGCAAAGATAGTTTGGAACGTGTTTGAATACACAGCGTTGGAAAGTGAGGTATTTTTGTGTGTTAAATTTTGCCTCGTTAGACCATTATTTCGCTGCAAAAAAATAAACAACAATTGTATTTTGGCCATGTCATGATTTTTTGTTATTTGGTTAATAATTTTGTATGACTTTTAAGGCATTCAATTGAAGTAATTCTGAGCCGTAAACATATTTTACTTCTTGGCCTTTGAATCAAAATACGACTCGCTCGGCCGTTTGTTGAGCGCAATAGTCGAAAAAGTTTCGTCCCAACTTTGATTTTTTTGACCGGCTGACCAAGACAACTTCTCATAAGGATTCGTTAAAAATATACAAATTCAAGTTGAGCATTTCTTGATTTTCAACTGAAAAGATCAACTAGTAGCTAAAATTAATTGTGAAATGTATTCTATTGAACGTGAACGATACATGTATATCCGAAGAGTTTTAAAAACCTTTCACGTCATGCTTCTTGCGAAAGCAACCGTTCGTAAGCTTTCGCAAGCGTTTTGAGAAAAAAACTCTAAAATATTGGCAGTATTACCTGAAAATACAATAGCAGAATCTACTAAATTATCGTATAACATCGGAATTTTACCCCCAATATCTATTTCTTCATCAAAACTTGACTACAAAACAGTCAAAACTTCCAGCTCAGTTTTCCCGCCATATTTATCCGTGCCATATAAGACAACGTCGCCATAGTAACCACAACAAACTCGTTACCAGTTCATTGCATCACACATCGATCGGCGCGCCTATAGCCGTTTCACCGCCCTCTATATAAGCGCCCTGCTTGGACTCGTAGACAGTTATGCAGAGTGGATGAACGTATTTTATCTTTGAATGAAGAATTGTGGATGACTTTAAATGAAGAACATTATGCGACAGCTAAAAGAATGATCTCTGCGTCTTCTACGAAAACATTCAACAAAGCACGTTCCACTCAGATTGCCAAATTCACAAAATTGACGTGCTTTGGTCGGACGCATCGCAGACAAGAAGATTTGGCCAGTCATCCACTACAACGCACCATTATCAATATGAGTGCTAGAAGACTTACGCCGGTTGAAGAAGATGTCTTGGCTCTTGGAAGAATTCGTACAGCTCTAAAGAAGAATTCGTACAGCTCTAAAGAAGAATTCGTACAACGTTTGGAACCGAAGTTATACCACATGACGAACGATGAAGCTAGTAACATCCGCGTCCAAATCACTGAGGTTCTACGATGTGCAACGCTTCCAGCTTCGAATTTAACCAAGAATAAGAAGGATGCATTGAAAAACTTAAGAGCAGATAAGTCAATACATATTTTAAAGGCTGATAAGGGTAACGCTACGGTTATTCTAGATCGTCTAGAATATGATAATAGAATCCTGGCTCTTTTAAACACTTCAACTTATAAACAGCTTAAAAGAGACCCTACAGCTAACATTGAACGTAAAATATGTTCCAAACTATCTGGCTTTAAAAAGGCAGGTATTTTGTCTCAAACACTTCATAATTGTTCGAGACCTTCAGCTACTGTTTGTCCAAAATTTTATGGTTTACCTAAGATACATAAACCTAATGTCCCACTAAGACCTATTGTAGCATCCATAGGTTCGCCAACGTATGCCCTGGCTAAATATCTCGCTGAGATATTGAAACCAGTTGTTGGGAAAACAGATCATCATGTAGTAAATTCTAAAGAATTTGTAACAAAAATGGAACAAATTAGATTGGGTAAGAATGACATTCTGGTAAGTTTTGACGTAGTTAGCTTGTTCACTAATGTTCCAGTTGAAGAGGTTTGTAATATCGCAAAAGGAAGACTTTCAGATATTACATTATCTCAAAGAACTAATCTTTCTCCTGAGAATGTTCATGATTTGTTGAAACTATGTTTGACCACGACATGTTT